TCACCAAATTCGGTATGGAGATTCATTGGGTCCGTAGGGAGATACATACAAAATTTTAAGTCTTGCATTTTGCAACTTTTCATGTCTTAAGATAACCTTTCATGAATTTATATAACTTCCGTCCAGGGGACGGGTACTCCAGCTAGTATGAAATATGTTTTTTGAAATATTTTTCCACTTGAAGTTTCTTATATAGGTGAATTTTTAACTGCACAAATATTTTTACAGGTGCACAACTTGTAATCAACTGCACACTAGAAAAAAAACCCTGGACTATACGTATATTACTAGCTACGTTATTTGTAATCAGTTTTATTAGTCGTTTTTGAGACACCGTCTTAAGTTTAAAACACGCAAACAAGGTTTTATTCACAACTAGCTAGGCTTACGCAAAACCGTTATTATTAAGGTAACAGCCATAAAAAAGTTTGACTGACTTGATTGATCTAATAATAGAGTATAAAAAAATGAATGATGGGTGCAAGCTATGAATATCAAAACGTTTCTTTCTTACTTCTTTATCGTGAATATTTCTTTTTTTGTCTGGCACTTGAAAATCAATTACCTGTTCATAATAGTTGTGAAAAAATATAGAAATAAATTCAGTCGTGAGTAAATAATCACCTTTTCAGGGAGTGTTTGAGTTCTCTTTTAACTTACCATACAGTAACCTAAATCAATTTAAGTGTGTAAATAATATGATGGTATTGCATATAATTTATTTTTGGATATTATATGCGGAAAAGCTGTTCAATTATTATATCACTTTCATTATACAAACAAGTTTGTAATAATAGCATAACTTGTTCATTGTTACTCAGTTTAAGTTAAGATGTTGTAGTCAGTTAGGAATGTTATAATTTTTGTTATATTATAAGTATTAGAATTATACTTGTTATAAGACATTAGTAACAGGCCTATTACATTTTTAAACACTACATTTTTAATTTAGTCCCTTATGGATTTTCAAGAATCAAAAGAGTGTATAATAACAGTGTTCCAACCACACTATATTTGCAATATCCATTGCTGATTACATGTTTCTCTCAATCCAGAGATATTCAGGTAGGTTGTGATACAACAAACACAGTTGTGGTCGGAACATTATTTATGCAAGCCATTTGATACAACAACAGTTGTTATGGTGTTCACACCTTCTACAATTCGATTACATTATACTTGTCATAAGACATTAGTATTAAGCCTGTTACATTTTTAAACACTACATTCTTAATCTAGTTCCTTTGGGAAGAGGAGTGTACAATGTTGTTAGTTTCATTTAGTTTAATTACTGGCGATAAGTATTGTAACTCTCGCCCCCTGAGGGGGTGCGAGGTTATTCCGATCAGGTCCATGTGTGTCTGTGTTTCCGCGCGCTTATCTAGAAAACTAATAGATCTATTTGTATGAAAATTTTAAACAAGATGGGAAGTCAATATAGGACAGTCTTCCCCAAATTTGGTCCGGATCTGGGAAGATAAGGCATTTTCGAGGATTTAGGTTAATAACTCTGTAATGTGTGATCGGATTTGTACCAAATTCCATGAGCACATTAAGGTGAGACTCTTAATCACACTACAAAATATGATTCGGATCATTGATCATTCTGGATCTGAAAAGGAGCGGCAGGGAGAGGGTATGAAATCTCTCTGATTGCTCTTGTTTTACAAGTTACAGATTTTACAGTGAGTAATATTTTTCATTTAAACAAGTTATGGCGATCGTTGGTGCGATTACTGCCAGTTACACAGGTTTTAACGGTAAAGAAGGTTTTTGTATTGAAATCAACACTAACAGTGATAGAACAATTTTTTCGATTTGACAATCGATAATGGTTATTTATGTGTGCGTTTATTTATCAATACGCGTGGATTGACAGGCTATTTATTTATCTATTTATTTCATAGATGAAAAAAACGAAAAAATCTAAATGAGTTTAAATATATTGAAGGATGTTGTGCGAAAGATTTGGGTAAGATTAGGAATGTCTGGGGAACAACGATCAAAAACATATAGTCGTGTCTGGGCATTTGCTTATTGTGAGATTGACTGTTTAATTTTTAAAGCTTCTCTGATTTTTCTTCTGTTAATGTTAGGTTGTTTTAGTATGGTGACATTCTGTTCGGAAAATTGGTTGTTTTTGTTCATATGTTCATGGACTTGGAAAGGGTTTTTTTTAAGTGTTCTTTTAACCTAATGTTCAGATTACGACTTGTTTCACCCATGTAAAAGGCTGAGCAATTGCTACACTACATTTTGTAAATGTTTCCTGACAGGGTGGGCTCGTTATATTATTTTGTTAACATGTGTTTAATTTTCATTCTAGGGATGAAAATTAATTTTGTTGTAAAATTTAGGTTATATTTACGTGCTAGTCTTTTCCAAATTTATGTTAGAAGTATGTTAATATTTTGTGTATACAGGATAGTGCCAGTGATTAGGTTCCTTCATTTTGTGGAGTATTTTTGGGGTTTGTTTGTTTTTTAACCATGTCCTCTCTGTTTTTTTGTTTCTAATTCATCAATAGTTTATATAACTACTGTGATAGGATTTGATTTACGTCAGTGAAACTTTGAGTTAACTTCTTCAAATATGTTTTCAGTGGTGCATACAATGTATGCTAAACGCAGGAGGATTTTTAGAGTGCCTAGCTTCTGGTGGATTACTTGAATAGAAAAACCAGTTTATGTAGTTTCTGCTGTGTCTTTTTTCTGGGAATTTTAGTGGTAAAGTCTCGGGTGATGTTAACATTCAAAAAATGTTTGTAGTTATTTTCATTTTCAACTGTAAATTGTATGTCTTTACGTATGATGTTTATGTGTTAAAGGAATTTTGTTCCTTTATCCTGACAAATCAATCCGCAAATAAGTCACCTACATAACTAAGTCAAAAGGAAAACGTATATGAAGAGATGTCTATGAAATGTTGTTCTTTGGGTTGTAAAGAGTGGCTAATGTACTTGAAAACGGATTTCCAATGACAAGTTCATGTAACGAAAGAAACACGAATCTTTGTATTAAAAGCAAATAAATATGGCTAATTGTAACAGTTCGTGTAGGCGTTCTTGTTTTATGTTGATGCTTGTTTTTGGGTCTTGTAAAACAATTTCTGCTCATCAGGCTGGCCGTGACACAATAAACATAGAGGTAGTCAGACCACTATTTATATAAGCCATTAGTTACAATAAAACCTTTTTTTTTGTTTTATTCTATATTTTATAATTTTCTCATTCACGCAGTTCTTTTATTACCATTCCATTGCAGTAATTTCTAAACAATAATTGAATACTGTTCTAACTTGCTGGTTGAGATCGGTTTCCTACAGTTTCTGCATTATTGTGCATATTGTTGCCTCCTGTAACATGACTTCCATTGCAATGGTTTCTAAACAATATATATAATTACTATGTTATTAATTCAAAAATATAACCAAAGCAACGTTTACAGCAAACAAGTTATGATTTTAATTATTACAACGTTTCGACCAGTACTATCAGGTCATTATCTGGTGAAAATTGTTATATTATGTTTTAAATATCAGGGTATTTGCACCATTATGAATATTGTTGCCTACTGTAGCATGACTAATTTCAGTGATTTTTAAACAATACACGTAAGAGTGTCCTGATTTGCTGCGTTATGAGTGGTTTTAGATATCAGAGTTTTACTATGATTTGAATAATGTTGATTACTGTTTCATGATTACAAAACTGTTATAGGCTGAGGGCTTACGCTGACCAAAAAAAGTAAATGAAAACCATAAGCTTAGTATTTAGATATGGTGAATAACTATTGATCGAAGCCGTTATATTTGAAAATTGATATTGTTTGGTGATTTATATGTAAAACTTGATCATTAAAAATGCTCTGCTTATGTTGTCTATTAGTTATATTTCTGAAGACATAACCATATGTGACAACATGTACAAATGGTTGAGTACGTTATATTAAAACCATGTTGAATATTCAAATCAGCAAGTCACTTGACAACTATAGCCAACATAAAGTTATGGTTTAACGGAATGTATCAAAACTACATTTTACCATTGTTTGGTTTATCTTAAATAGTGCGATACCACTGAAAGTTGACCACTTTTGGGAAGAGTATGTAACAATACTTTCCAACGCAAAATATTCATACACTCAGACTATAACGGTATATTCAGATCGTTGATTTAAAATTTTTAAGACGGGAATATTCTTGTAATTAATGAGATTGAAAAAGAAAGGAATATAGATCAACTTGGGGAATCAGTATCATACAGAAAGAAACCTGCAATAAGTCGTACACCAGCTGCGGGAAGCAAGGTTCGGTAACAGGTGAGAATCCAATAACACAAAGATCAGTGGCAAATGCTGTCCTCGTATCACAGGCAACAGTACTCAACACAATCAAGAAGGAACTCCGATTGGAGGGATTCACTAAGATAAGGCATCGAGTCATATCTCCTGTTCAACCGTTGCATACCTCAAGCAGTTGGTGAATGGAACGGGTTTGCATACCTCAGGCAACTGGAGAATGTAACAGGTATTCATGCCATATGAAGACATACCAGCCAAGTTGCCGGATGCCTATTGATTTCTGTGCAATTGGATTGTTGAAACTAGATGGATTATGTAAGAAGAGAGTGTGCTTCGGATATAACTGCCTTAAGTCGGAACCTTTTGTAATAAAACTACGCTGCAGGCCCCTTGTAATGACATACGATATTCAGACAGAGCGTGACTGACCGTGGCGACATTGACTGTAATGATGTAGCGAGACTCAAAAATCGTTCTAATATAACGTACTCAAACTTTGTATATAACTAACTACTGTTTTGATGATAATGATTATGCATGGAAGAATAACGAAATATTAATTTTTTTCATATTTGTATGAAATACGTGCTTGTTTTTAGTTATATGTAATTTTTCTTAGATCTTAGGATTAAAAATTCATAAAAGTCATAAAATTATTGACGTTTTGAAAGCGAATGAATATCTATACGGCAAACTCACCCGATGAACCAATAATTCCCAAAGCTCTGAAGATAAAATCGACCAATCCGGTGGCTTCTTGATTGGCCTCGTGAAGCTGGTAATTCATAGATCCGTAAAAACTATACTTCAGGGAATCTTCCTTTGTTGATTTTAAATACAGGCGTCTCCTATCAGCTACTGAAATCTATGAGAACGACGAAACTGAATTAAAAGATTGCCTAACAGTAATTTTCTTAATTGAATGTCTGACCACCAGGTTATAAGAATTAATAGCTGCAGTAACCGAATCTAATACCAGTAACATAGGACTTTAACACAATATTATGTCATGTAGCCGGTTAGCAACAGTGCAGCGACTGAAAGCTGGGCAACATTAAAAATAAACTTTAGCTAAGATAAACACAGAACTGTACATCAACCCCCAAAACAACAAGATAAAAAAGTAGAATCAGACTTGTGTTATTTCTCCACCTGCTTGTAACAAGTGTGCGAGTGTCAGGGGAGAACATCGAAGGTATGAACATCCCCCACACAGATGTCCGAGATGATATAGAAATAGCATTCAGGGGTGTATATTTCAAACACATTATTTGTAGGAACACTCCCACGATAAATATTACCATAAGTTACTTAAGGTATACATACAGCTATTAATTAATTATTCTTCGTTTATTTATTGTATTTTTTTTCAAAATTTTGTTTAGGCACGTGTCTTTTTGCCTATATGCCCCTGGCAGTCTCTTTTATTGTTCTTGCAATAAAACTACAGAAAATTTTCATATGTCGATAACAGGTGTTCATGTTTGAATGACTGGAATAGAAAATAAAGTTTTTCATGCATGGATATGTATAGAAATTATACAAATGTGAAGTTACGCGGGTAAGAGTGTGACATTATGTGGCTTTATAAACCAGATTGAATATTTGCGGACACTTTTAATAGAACTTAGCCGATTGATAAATAACTCCTCATTGAAGTAAATATGCTTTTGTCGTCTACCCATATTAAATAACATCCACAACTACATAAGTTAGACTTTATAAACTTATACCATAAAAGACAATGGTTTGATCGAAAATGAAATTACGTTTTTTATATTTTATCTACAAATACAAACACAGGGAATCGGTTCTATAGATTTAGCCATCATTCTACCTTTGGTAGGAAAAATACATCATTATTTACGTAGAAACAAAATTTTACTTCACATTGCCCTAAGAAAAGACCCTATCCCAACGTATGTTTTGAGTTTATATACAAGAAGATTATTAATAACAAACATCACTACGTAAAAACAATTTCAGTAATTTCAGCTGATTACAGCGCCACCGATGTTTTATTTTCTAGTAAGTTAGTTGAATGCTACTACTTTAGGCTTTGAAAATCTTTTCAGAAAATAACTTTCTTCCGAAAAAGTAATTCTTTCTCTTAAAGATTTGTATGAGATATAAAAAATAATAACATTTTACACTTTAACCACGAGGTGAATCTTTATTTCTTATTATAATTTTTACTTATAGCTAGATTATTTTACTCGCTGAAATGGAATTATCTTAAAGGAGTGACTAAGAAATCAAAAGGAATAACAGTAGTATTTATGATTTTTCACTGGGAATCTAGAGTCGATTACTGGGTTTACTCCTTTAAACGAGCATTTTGTCTGTTTGTTTGTTATAGAAGTTTCGCACAAAGCCACACAATGGTTTCCCTAATTTTGAACTGATAGACTAGAGGAAAGGTAGCTTACTAACAGCATCCAACGTTAATTACTGGGCTTCTCTTGTCCAATTGAATAATAGGACATGGCTGTAAACTATGAATCCATGGATTCACAGTCTACGATAACCACTTAGCCACGCCCAGTCCATTAAACAAACATGAATTCCATCAGATAAACACTTTAGAAGTAAATTGAAAATTTTCGAAACAATATCAACTAAGAATTTACTGTTGATGAAAGTTTCAGAACTTTTCACATTGTGAAAAGATGTTGAAATTTCCAAATGATACAAACAAACAATTAAGTTTGATGTTGATCAATATTCTCTTACAAAAACAAATGCATAAACAAAACGATTAATTTGCGTACTAGCCTGATATTTCCATTTTATAATGTCTTAATTATGTGTGTCTTCTAATTTAACGTCTATTTGTTGTTAAACAATCGCATTTTGATGTATCAGAATATCTATAATCAAGTTGACTGTGAAATAAAGCTAGCATCGTTTACGAGTACTTTATTTGTTGTTATGAAAAAGGGTAGTTAAAAGAAAGTCCAGTTGAATTTATAACACAAAACTATAAACCTTAAGTAAACGACGTATTGGAAATTAAAACAAAATGAATTTAGTTTTTATATATATTTCAAAAAGATCAAACATCTAAGTATTAAATTAACATAGAACAACAACAGAACAACTTTGTTGAAGGTTATTTGTTTTTACATAGTTTGGTTTATAATCACAGCTTGAAGGTGTCTCTAAAAATAAAATAAAAACATATCATTTTACTGATTTTTTATGCTGATTATTTTCATCAAAAAGTATTCCAGTTAGTAATAGATCTTTCGAATAAACTCTTTTAAAGTAACAACCGAGCTCTAATTGAAAGTAACCATACGTATGTGATGTGTAATGTGATTTCTCATATTTCGAGGAGAAAAAAACATTTTAATTAAATTTACTTTAAAACAAGTGCTTCAGCGTTAAATCTGAGAGCTTATAAAGCCAAAAAGTGTATTTTCGATACCCTTGGTGAGCAGATTACAAATAATCCATTGTGTAGCTTTATGCTAAACAGCAAACATTGAAACTAAATTAAAACCCATGACGGCCAAGTTTAGCCACCAGGTGACAAAATGTCTAAATAGCAATTAAAAACAATTGAATTATAAGTAAGTATGATAATTATTTCAAAGAATCTAAATATATATATATTTAGTAATAATTTTCACATGCCTTTAAATATAATTGTGGCTTTAATTTCACGTTTGATAATCAGTTTGACACACGTAACCATGACGAAAGTTGTGAAAGAAGTTACGTGTTCGAAAGTGAAACTCGAATAGAAAACGTGTGAACAACGTACACAGGTAAGCGGATTTAATAGCATATACAAGGAAGTTATACTGTTGTTTAAGATATTCAATACAAACTGTTTTGCCGTTATTGCCCAATTTTCGCAAACAAATTTGTAATATTCACATACAAGGTCTTTTCATTACCTAAATTAGAAAAAAAAATCAGTTAAATAAAGCTGAATTGAGTCTTAAATACTCTAACACCAGTTATCTACGGCTAAGTTGTATCTTTCTTCTATTATACCAATTAAGCAAGGTTCAACTGTGCCTTAAATACTATCATACCAATTACTTAGCCCGGCATGGCCATGTGATTAGGGTGCTCGACTCGCGAGTTCGAATCCCCGTCACACCAAACATGCTCGCTCTTTCAGCCGTGGGGGCGTTATAATGTGACGGTCAATCCCACTATTCGTTGGTAAAAGAGTAGCCTAAGAGTTGGCGGTGGGTGGTGATGACTAGCTGCCTTCCCTCTAGTCTTACATTGCTAAATTAGGGATGGCTAGCGCAGATAGCCCTCGTGTAGCTTTGCACGAAATTTAAAACAAACAAACCAATTACGAAAGGCTAATTTGCATCTTACATAGTATCATATCATTTAAGAAATACTAAATTATATCTTAAATATTATTACATCAATAAAAAAAAGTAGTGTTTAATATTTTAAATACTATCACACCAGTCAAGTAACGCTAAGTGTCTTAAATATTATTATTATACCAGTCGAGTAAGGCTTAGTGTGTTAAATGTTATTATTATACCAGTCGAGTAAGGCTTAGTGTGTTAAATAACATCATATCAGTTAAGTAAGAATAAGTTGTAATTTAACTAGCATCACATTAGTAAAGCAATTCTAGGTCTCTTAAATACTATCACGGCATTTACGTAAAGTGAGCTTTCAATATTATCAAAGCAGTAAAGTAAGGCTAAGTACCTTGAATACTACCTTAGCAGTCAAGTAAGGCTAAGTTATGCTTTAAATACTACTATACCAGTTATATAAGGTTAAAACGAGTCGTCTACATTGACATAAGAAAACAATGAATGTCGAGGTGTTGGGACCGGAATTTTTTGTCTACATAGACATAAGAAAACAATGAATTTCAAGGTGTTGGGACCGGAATTCTTTGTCTACATAGACATAAGAAAACAATGAATGTCGAGGTGTTCGAACCAGAATTTTCTGTCGACATCAACCGTTATTCATCTAAGTAGACTACGAAAAAACGAGGTACGATTTTCTGTAATAAAGATAATCAAAGAGAGGAATTTATAATGAAGTCGACAAGAGTGGATGTCGACTTACACGGGGTCGACTTAAATGTAACAGGTCGAGGTTGTCATCAGAGCTTAAAAGTGTTAATTGTAGGTTTCAAAAAAAGAATTCCGGTCCCAACACCCTGAAATCCATTGTTTTCTTATATCTATGCCAACAATATACGTAAAAAAGGCGCTTCCGATGGCAATTAGTATGGGGAAGCCGGGAAGACAGGTAGAATAATATATGTACTTGGTTCAGTGTAACTCGCTGCTATCTTTAAACGGTAATGTCGACAAACTTTACATGGCCCAATAACGTCGACATAAACGGGTAGCACCATACTTGTAAGTTATGTTGAAAGACTATTTATTACTTGTAACCTTTGTTCAAAAGTCTCTAATCACCGCTCTTGAGGTTTGACAACCTCGGCTTATTAGTTTTACATTTTGAGACAACTTTTGACTATCGCTTGTTAACTTTTATTTATCATTTTAATTTATATGGCAACATATAATTATTCCTTTTATGTTCCCTGACAGTCTGTACTTATCACTTTACCTTCTGTTGTCGACTTTTAATTATTATTTTAAATTATGTGACAGCATCTAATTATTCCTTTTACGTTCTCTGACAGTCTGTACTTATTACTTTAAGTTCTGTTGTGAGCTTTTAATTATG